ACTTTCAGAATATCCTTATAAAAGGCAACCTTTCTCTTGGCTATCGCTGGTGACCCTTTCTTTTGTGGTTTCACGTGCTCTCCATGCTCCTAGAAATCTTTGTGAGGTATCTAGGTCTTAGATAATTGATCTTTGAGATGTTGATTCATGCCTGCTTCTCAGGTCTGCCAGAGTGCCATTAAAGCATCACAATGTGGATATGGTATGCCATGCCAATCTAAGGAACATCACATTGAGATGAGAGAGACACCAAGCCCTCCCATATTATACACATATCTTGTGTCTGAACAATAAATGTAAGTGCACATCTCTAGTAAAACTTTTTGATACTTGGCTTGCTCATTATTTCTATTTCTATATTCCCTTTTTCTGAGATCAGTGCATACATCAATGAATACATCTCTGGTTATCTGGGTAAGAAGAAATTGAGTACACTATTATCTTCTCCATTAAGTCATAATAGCATATATTAAGAATGATATCTTTGCACCTGGAGTCACAGAAAATTAGACTTGTAAATGACCCTAGACATCAACTAGTTATTCCTTCAGCCATCGTTGTACAGCACCCCATGTGCTTTGCTGCTGTAGTTTTTTTATCATCACACAAAGAAGGAAACAGATCAAGAGGAAAAGGTATTTTTTCTCTCTAGGAGGTGACAGAACTTTGACTATGCCTCCCATCATGTTTTTCCAGAGCATAGGCCAAACACTCATTGTGTGACATCAGGGTCTTATCCTTGTCATTCCTATCATTGACATGGAACCTTCTTTCATGGGTAGTATATGTGTGTATTCTTGCTTCTCCCTCAGTGGGCACCAGGTGTAGTAAAACAAAAAAGTGCATTGACATTATGAAATTGCTGATATCTGGTCAACATTCAAGCATTGTTTACCTAACAAGAGGAAATTTCATATGGTTCACTGTACGCTATCTTTTCCTGCAACAAACTCTCTAAATACGTGCGTGCACTCGCGTGCACACACACACACACACACACACACACACACTTGTTTCTCCAAGACATGTGGCTAATAAGGAGAGGATTAGAGCCCACACTCATATTTTCCAAGAATTGACTTTGTGCTGGATATTCTCCATTTGCCCTTCAGGATTGCCTGCAGACCCTTTTCTAGGAGGCTATCCTGCCTAGACTGCACCAATGTGAGTCCTTGTCCTCTGACTCTAGAAGAAATCAAGCATAGGAGGAGACAATTGGGGACAGCTATTCCCCATTCCTTTCCTGCTGGACTCTGGCTTTGAAGGAGCTGTGTTCCTCTACCCGTAGTCATAGCTCTGCTTGACAGCCCTCTCACATCTATGATCAAATTGTTCTAGATATAACTTCAGTTTGTGTATATATGAGGTTATATTTGCTATGCATGTGTGTTCTGAAGTTATATTTGAATAACATTTATACCTTCAAGTTTTGTATTGAGATTTGTCAAGGCCCTTAGGTAGGAATAACAATATACTTATAAACAGTGCGTATTTATACTGCTGTTCTAAAAACTAATTGTTAATTGTTTTTTAAGGCCATTAATATTATTAGACATTTTAAAATAAGAAAATACTGGCTAAGTTTAGTTTCTTAACATGAAATTCAAGGCAATATCCAAACATTTGTGAAATATAATTATGCTTTTACTATTATTTTCATATTAATTATTAGTTTAGGGGCAAAGCATTAAATCTGATGCAATATAAAATTGACAAGTAATCTTTGCTAGTACAAATATTTGCTAGTTTTTGCCTGTGGTATATATAATCATGTGATATATAAGTCAAGAAGAACAAGTAACCAAAGAAAATATTTTAAATTCACTCGAATAACATTTTGGTCTCTAAACACATGTTGGATTAAACTCCCCCAAAACTGGTTTATTACTGGAACAAACATTGACTGAGCATCTATTATGTGTCAACATTGTGTTAAGTGATGTGGAAAGTTTAGAAGATTCATGGGAATCACATTCTGATTCTAGAAAGCTCCTTAACAATGTCACGAGCCCAGTAAGTGTTGATTGGCAAGAATGGAACTGATAATCCAGGAGTTTCAGTTCTGTTTCTATCTTCCTTTTCATGTAACTGCACGCAGTCTGCAGGCACTCAGTACATAGCTAGCTAGATATTAAAAGGCATGAAAAACAGTCTTCATGCATCCCTAACAAATTGTTCATTTTTACTCTAGGCGATCAGTGAAGTTACAAGCTTCAGTGCTCTTTGAAATAAGCTAAGAGTAGGCAATAAATAAAAGTATAGCACTATTCACCATGTGGCATTTCACATCCGAATCTATTATACATTCAGTCTTCATATTGTAGGGCAGGAAAGCCCTAAAGATGCATGTGAGGCCCTTAACATTTAATTGCTTCCTAAAGATGTTAACCAGTGTGTGTTAATGAATGAGAAAAGCTATTTGGAAGATGATCTGTGTCCTAGAGCCTCTGCTCCCAAATTCCTTCCAGGAAAAGAAGCTAATTTGAGCATCATTTGTAGAAGATTTCTAGGTTCTTGGAGTGTGTCAAGAGGTTAGGGAGAAGGGGAATGGAAAAAAAAAAAAAAAAAAAGATTGGAATGGATTATTGAGAGAGCCTTTGGTGGACAGCCCCCCCCCCAAAAAAAAAAAAAAAAAAGACAGAAGAGAGTGCCTCTAGATAAATCTTTGATTCTATTAACAATAATCCAGGACCCTAATTGTTTCCACAATTATTTATAAATTTATGTAAAATACAGTTAGAGCTTCTCTATATATCAATGGAGTTTATTTCCATAATCAAGTGGAATGGGGATAATTTTATATGTGAAGGTATAACTAATGCCAAAGGTGTTTTTTGTTTGTTTGTTTGTTTTTAAGAATCGCAAAATATAACCACCACCAAGTCAAGGATAACATAATGGGAAATCTAAAATTTATTCATATAGTGTAAATAAACAAATAAGGATAATTATTTAAATCTATATTTAGTTGCATTATTCAATTAGTTTCAGGAGTAGATGTGGAAATCAGACTTATTCTTGGCAATTCCTGTGCTGAACTCTTTTGACTTCTTGTCATAGGCTCCTCTACTTGAGCTAAACCAGACAAAAGTTACATAAAATTGTTTATTCTTTTGCCATATTTTTTGACTACTTCCTTCAAGCTGTTGAGGTGCTATCCTGGTGAAATGGTACTGTCCTAGTGAATATATCTAGTTTTTTTTTTTAATCAGCTATGATTGGGTTTCAAATTGATGTGCTTCCTGGTAGCAAGGGTCAAGGGAAATCAGAGTATATTATACCATTCTCATATTATACCAAAGAAGGCTACAAATAAACTCTTCTAGAGAAATGCTATGTTTTCCTAGTAATAATTTCTAAAGAAATAAGTCTACTTTGTAAAATTTTAATTAAGAGCCTTCATTTTCTTTCAGCAAATATAAAGGTTATATAAACATTTAATTTTCTAAAAGTTGTGATTCTCAAGAGAAGAAATTATCTTAATGGCTCTTCATTTGTCACCTTCAAAAACAAAGCAATTTGAATATTTTCTTTATTATGATTTATTGGAACTTCATTAATAAGGAAGGCTTACAAGTTAGTTATTGTTTTTGAGCAAGATCACACTGTGCTAAATAACGAGATATGGGAATACATCAAACAGCTTGACTTCTGCTGACTTTTACTTAAGAGTGTGAAGTGTTTTAAATTAGACTATGTTAGTATTGATAAAATGTGCACAAGGGGAAAAATAATTTAAAGGCTATGTTTCACTTTGAGAGATAAATTATTTGATTCAAAAATAAAGCACTGTGACCTGTGAGTGAAGAACCAAAACTCTCATACACTCTGAGAGACAGTGTAAATTGAAGCAAGCTTTTTGGAAGGCAATTTGGTAATGTCTAACAAATATACAATGCATTTACTCATTGAACTGACAATTACACATGCCCAGAAGAATCTGCCCCTAGATAAACTTGTGAAAGTTCACCAAAGTTCATCATAGTATTTTTGAAATAGCAAAAGAAAAACATTACAAAAGTAGTCTAAATACACAGCCAAAAGGGATTGGATAAATGTATATTCATTTAATGGAACACCCTAAGCTAAATAAGAAGTGTGTATAGGATAATTCTACATACGCTGATATGAAAGGACTCCACAGTGAATTAATGGGGAAATGTGAGACATAGGCCATGATGATTTGTCTTCTGGATTATTTTAGTTATATAGTTTTATGTGGATATGCTGATATTTATATCAATCACATCAGTTTATATGTAGGAGAAGCAAATGTGGGTGACCTGTTGTGCTTATTTAAATTTAAATCGTTAATATATAAGCATTGGCTTTTGGGTATTCCTAGATGGCAGTGGACTGGAAGATGATTTTCATTTTACTTGATAGCTTTCTATAAAATTTGAGGTTTCTAAGTATGCATATGCAATTCTTTTACTTTTTTAAACATATCAATTTGAGTGTTCTTAAGTAAGTTATTATTCTTTGTTTTCATATACTCAAAAACCCAATAATTTATTTCTTACAAAACAAGGACTATTAAAGTTTCCAAGGTAATGAAGCATGACAAATGTTAGCATATGAAGCATTGTGTTGTCAGGAAGTCAACTCAAGTTTTCTGTGAAATATTCACACTGCAAACAAAATGCAGCTTCTACAGCTGCCTTCCTTATATTGAGAGTCCGTCCCTTAGCTGTATGAAAGATAGGTCAGTGTTGGGTTGGGTAATTAGAGACATCAAAGTTACCTCCACTTCTGAGCAAGAGAATTTTAAATCAGTTATTGCAATTGTTTTCTTAGTCCAGGGTAAAAGAACATGCTACAAAACAAAGTCCTCTTTGAACAACATACTTCATAGACCCAGCTTGAATTCAGAATGTAAGGAGAAATGGTTGTATATCTCCCATGGACCCTGTTTAACACAGCATCTTCTATTTTGGAAGCAGTTCCAAAAAAGAATCATAGAATGACTGATTGTCTTCTGCTCTTTTTAATCTTTCCAGAATTGAGACTTCCAGTGAGTCCCTCTGTGTGTCTGGATCAGGGAGTACAACAGCCAAGTACTTCAAGTCATCTTTTAAAAACAGTGAAGCCACATATGTGGAAACCATGGGACGGGCGACGTGAACAGCTGTAAGCTGAACATTTTGAATTGTTCTATCCAACAAACATTTTAGGAGACAAGAAAGAAGCCCAGAGGGAGGTGGAGGCGGATTGCATCTTTGAATTATTAGGTTCTGTTACATAAATTTTCAGGGCTCCCTTCTTAATAAGCATGTCATCATTGACTTTCTTCTAGACACATTTAAATTTCTCCTACTATAGAATAAATATTTGGGTAAATTGGACTTTCATCTGGTAAGTTACATTAATGTAAATTGAATTTAAAACCCTGACAATGTGAAACTATAAAATTTTAACTTCTCCTATGCTCAGATGACATTGCCTTATCCTATGAGTATGGCTGAATGCATTTTTCCTATTTATTAATTACTTTTAATCATTCCCAGTCTTTAAGAAATAACCTATAAGATATCAAGTTGTCCAGGGTACCTTCAGGAAGGCATTTTAGAACGTAGAGAAATTAAGGATTTTAATTATTTTACCCAAGATAAGATGTGAATAAAATTTTATAATTTAATTTTATAATTATTAAGTAGTATTTCAGGAGTTAATGGTATTTATTGAAAATTGTATAATTCTCTTGCTTACCTAGACTTCAAAAGTTAAGAAGCACAATCTTTTCATTGATCAAATGGAGATCAGAGAAACATGGTGCAAAAAAAAAACAAAAAAAAACTAGTTATACATTCTTGTACTATTTATGATGAAAACATATCTGTTTTATCATAAAACATTAAATTAATGTTACTTTCTTCTGTACACTGAACTGTTCCCTGAATATTTCATCCTTTCAGTTGACCTTTTATTATTGGGGATGAAGAACAGAACTGAACTAGTGGGAAGAGTTATTTTGTCTTTTAGATGGTGGCTTTTCCACTACTGAAAAACTTGACACTTTTTATGGAGAGAAAAATATAAAGCAAAGGTACACAGTAGCACAAGAAAGCCTTCCTAGCAAGCATTTCACTATGCCCAGATTGTAAGTTATATCGCATAAGTTGTCATAGTACCATGAATATGAGGTCATGGGCAGTGTGAATAATTTAAATTTTAGAAATCTTTAAATCTATATTCATACCTTCTTTTCTTTTTAAGCATCTTTTGATTAAATCTGCAGTGGAGAATTCTCCAATTTGATCTCTTCTCTTTGTACCTGTGCACCCTCTGGTGGTGAAGCTAATTAAGCAGTTGAAATTGTTTAAGGAAACCCACACACTGAGGGCTGGTCCAACAGATAGAAGTGGTTCACACAGCTTTTAACAATGTACACATTACGTACTCAACCCTAAATTATGGGCACTAACTATCTTGTTTTATTTTTTTAGGAATCAAACAACAGTCCTTGCTCCCCATGAAACAATCTTTAGAGCTGAGGATCTATCTATGATTCTGAAAGCATATGTACTGGTGACATCTCTAACCCCTTTGCGTGCATTCATTCATTCAACGGGCACGGTGTGGAGTCCACCAAAGAAAAAACGTTTCACTGTCAAGGTAAAATCTCTGCTGAAGCTGTTTTTGTCACACAAAGTACACCAGGGATAAGTAAAGTGCGTTGGGCTGCTATTCTGCGACCTTTATGGTTATCAAATCCCTTTGAACAAAGATTGCATCTTTTTATTGCTGCAAGCAGAGATTTTCATTTAATAGGTGCTGGTTCAAAAATAAACTGGAAATAGCTTAATTCACTAGGGATCACAAAGGCTACATCTTTTTTTTTTCTTATCTTATTTTAGTTTAATTCTTTGACCTATTACAGAGTGTTTTTGGCTGTACTCTATTTTTCTTGAATTTCTACTTATTCAAGAAAAATATAATCAATGCAACAAATAAAAATATAATTTTGCCCTTATGCTTTTTTGCTTCATCCATAGAAAGCATAATGAGTATTTCATTACATCAGTCAATATGGAATATTTGCTGAGTTAAAAATACAGTTCTCAAGTGTGTCAAATACAGCAAGCCATGCTGTAAGAGATAATGAGGAAGTTTTCAGGGAAGAACTTAATAATAACTCCCAAAAGTTTAGTTACAAAAGGTAGCTTGGGTGAACTTGGGTATAGATAAGGTCTTGTGAAAACATATTCGATCAAATTTAAGGAAATTTTATTTTAAAGAAGTAGTAATAGAAAGAAACAAAAGTGCCTGTGATTTTAAGAGATTTTTTTTTAAAAAAAGACTGAATTTGATTTCTTTATCATGATTTATCATATAGCCAGTGACTTGGAAGGCTTAGACAGGAGGATCACAAGTTCAAAGCCAGCCTCAGCAACTTAGTGAGACCCTGTCTCAAAATAAAAAATAAAAATGAGCTCATTGTAAGCTGCCCCTGGGTTCAATCCACAATATCAAAAACAAACAAATGAGAAGAATACATCTTACATAAAATTGCATATTTAATTCTGAAAAGCATTCCAATAATGAAAATTGTTTTCAAAACCATATCAGTATGATAATTGATGAATTGATGTAGATGTTATATAGATTAATAAAATAAATAGCTGACATTTTAGGAAGAGTATTGACCTAAGTTCTTAAAGTTGTTTTATTTGTTTTCAAAACAATCATCCCATCTCCATTATGTCAACAACTGTGGCTTTCAGTTAATCCAGAATCTAGTTCTTTCATGTCATCTGTCCTGCAAGTCTTTACAGTAGCTGTTCATATTCACCTACGTACCACTAATTATTTCCATTTTTCTGAGTTATTAGGATAAATGATATGAAACTAGATATTAGGTCTCTTTTTAACCTACAAAATGTTCTGACTTCACAAGTTCAACCTCATAGTTGGAACTTAGGCACAGAGAGATGAGAATTAAGTACCTAAAATCATGTCACATTATTCAACAAATATCTGAGCACTGATCAAAATCCCTATGTCACTCTGGACAAGTCTTCTGTATTGTGTTAGGAATTTTTTTCTTTTTCTAGCATTTTTTTTATATTCAGCGCTACATATTTTTAGGAAGTGGCCATGCATGTTGTCCATCTTCAGAGCTATCTTTTCACTGATTTATGGTATTTCTTAGTGTGTTTTCCATTACAGTCTATCTATCCCCTCTTCTAGTAATAGATAAACTGACTGTTTCAATTTGGGGTTAAACCAAATAGTGCTTAAAATGTAAAAATAATTGTATATGAATGGAGCTGCATAAGATTTTCTTGCAAATATATACTCAGCAGTGAATTACTGAATGACAGGCTGTGGCCCCATTTGGATAGATTTAAATGATGTCAGCTTGCCTTCCAGATTGCCTGCTTCAGTCTCTATCTCATCATTAGTTTCCATATCCCTAAAGCTTGGTCAACACTCGGACCTTTCTAGTCCTCATTTTGCTAGTTTGACAGATGAGAGGTTACATCATACTTTTGCAAATAGCTCAACTTGTCATATATCTTGCCGACTTTATTCACAATGTCTGTTGTTGATTAATCAAATTAATTTTTCTTCATGCTTTGTGCTTTAGGATATAGTTTTAGAAATACTTTCTTATGTCTAGATCACAATGACATGCTTTGCCATCGTCTTTATAATTTTTTCCTGAAGATACAAGTGTTTAATTAAGAAGAGTTCATCTTTGATCCATTTTTCTTTCACTATATCCTGACCAATTCTCCCAACTGTGGGTTAAAACTCACCTTCTCTCATGAATCTAATGTCACATTTATTGTGTAAGTTCATATACATACATGGAGCTGCCTCTGAGTTATTTTGCCTCACTTGGTCCACCTGCTTATGCTATCTTGGCCGTGTAGTTATGTCTTAATGCTTGGTGGGTAAAGTTTTTCTTCTTTATTTTGTAATTTTCAAGATTAGGGTAACTAGGTTTTAAATATTTATTTCCTTCCTCATAAACATTTAAGAATGTTGTATTAGTCACAGTTTTCCAGAGAAACAGAACCAACACATTATACGTATTACATATATAACAATATGAGTACAATTATATACATAAGAAGCTTATTTTGCCTATGGAGATTTATTTTGGGCATTCACTTATTCAGTCATGGAGGCAGAAGTCTCATGATCTATAAGCTGGGGAACAGGAAAGTTAGTATTATAATTCAGTCTGATCACAAAGGCCTGAGGAGTTCAAGTACCAGAGGATGAGAGAAGATGGATGTCCCAACATAAGAAGGTACAAACCAGTTATTAGGACTTACTGCTTCTATCTGACCCTTTTATTAGTGTGCTTTCTTTTTGTTTCTTTAAAAGTATCTTTTTCTCTTTATAACTGTAAATTTCAAATACTAAGTTTAAAAGTTATATATTCTTAATATTTGTAATATATAGTGATCATCATTAGTTCAAAACATACATTTTGGGAAGGAGATCCTGGGGATTGAACCCAGATACACTTTATCATTGAGCTATACCCCCAGTCTTATTTATTTTTTAAGTTTGAGCCAGGGTCTCACTAAGTTACTAAGCCTGGCCTGGGACTTCTGATCCTCCTGCTTCAGCCTCCAGAGTCACTGGAATTACAGGTATGGACCACCATGCCCTGCCAAACATACACTTATGTTTATTTTCTCTTACTGATATCTTAAGCTTTTCAAAATCTTTATCTTTCCTTCAACTCTGTCTCCTAAAGGCTGTGGATTTTGTCTTTATACCACTTTCCTAAGTCCCTTTTTCACGAAGAAATTTATATTCTACTTTACATCTTCATCACCTCCCCCCATTTTTCTTTTGTACTTTTCCCCCTTCAATAACAAACAAACTTTATTTTATTTTTTTAAATATATTTTTCAGTTGTCAGTGGACCTTTATTTTTATTTATTTATTTATATGTGGTGCTGAGAATTGAACCCAGTGCCCCACACATGCTAGGCAAGCACTCTACCACTGAGCTACAACCCCAGCCCCAATAAACAAACTTTATCAAGGAATTTATCACCCTAACTTGCCCTGTTTGCAATACTCTCCTGTATTTGTTTCTTATCTGAGTGTTTTCAGTTTGTGCCTAAAATCTTTAATTTTTCCTTTTGGAAAACTCATTTTCATTAATTCTTGAAATATTTTTGTTCACTATGTTTTACTTCTGTTATCCAGAATTTGATCTATCTGTTTCTATTCTTTTTTATGATTTGACTTTTCTTATATATTTTCTATCTCTTTATCTGCTTCCTAAAAGTGTTTTTATCTTCTGGGACAGTTCTTTGATCTTATCTTTTGAATCATGAAATCCTTATACTATATCTTTCCTGCTATCCATCTCATCTGTTGCCTTCAGTTATTTATTGTATGTATAACTTACATGCTGATGCCCTTTAAGAATGTCATATGTTTTTATTTACACCTATTAATTTCTTACTGCATTTTCTCTTTGTTCTTATTATTTGTTTTCATATTTCATTTTGCTTGTGTCTTCCATTATTTCCTTAAGTAGATTAATCATGCTTATCTTAAATTCCTAGTCCATCCACTTAAGTAGCCTGATATGTATTATTTAGTTTGCTGCCTTTTTTTTTTTTTTTTAAAGAGAGAGTGTGTGAGAGAGAGAGGGAGAAAGAGAGAATTTTTTTAATATTTTAGTTTTCAGCGGACACAACATCTTTGTTTGTATGTGGTGCTGAGGATCGAACCCAGGCCGCATGCATGCCAGGTGAGCGTGCTACCGCTTGAGCCACATCCCCAGCCCTGCTGCCTTTTTTTGAGGTAGCAGTGCTTTTCATATATCCTCTATTTTGTCCTTTGAACTTAAGTTCTCTTGCAGATACTATTTATTCAGCCAATATAGTATTTGAGGAAGGACAGACCTTGCAGGTGAATCCAAGGAAAGGGCAGAGAATGAATTCTGGGCACCATAGAAAGAATCTCTTTGGGTCCCTTTTCTTCGCTGCCACTAGGCTTGATAACCTCACTGGTCAGAATTTCACTCCCTGACCTCTTCGGAAGAAAAACACTGGGAGGAAGCATGACCCTCCATTGAAATCCATCAAGCCCTGGGTTTGAGACAGAACAGGGTGGAGAAGTAGATGCCAAATGTGACTGGTCTTCCCACACATCTCATCAACTCTTTACCTGAGCAAAGACTCAGCCCCAAGAAATTCAGCAACCTGAATCCTGGGCCTGGGCCAACATCCTTAGCAAGGAAAGAACAGTCTGCAGTGATGACTGTGCTGGAGAAGGTTGGGGCAGGGGTCTAGAATACTTTCCTCCAGCCAATTCTTTCAGGTAGCCTCCAGCAACTCCCCCACTCACTTCCAGTCCTCCTTCTTCAGATCACCACAGACCAGACCAGTGCAAAACAGCTTCCAGAGTCCCATTTACAAAGGTTATTATTGTCCTGTTATCAAATTCATGCTTCAGTCTCATTTTGCCTGTGCAGACTCACTATCTTGATAGGAAACTGATGGTCTCAGGTATCCTGAGTAATTTTTAACAATGATTCTACCCCCACACACTCTGTCTCATCACCTATCCCAGTAAAAGTGATTGGTAGAAATTATAAGCTTTTTGTGGTAATATTGTTTATGAATACCCTG